CTCCGTGGTCGCTGATGAAGTGGCTGAGGTGGTTTTCAGTTTGAAATCGAGAGGCTTGGTGTGAAGGTCAGATATGTGCCTGCTCTTCCCTCCGTAGTCCTGGGATCTCACAGGGCGGTGGGGTCACCGCCAGCCAGCCCAGGGGGCCCAAGAGCAGGTGGGATGGCTCCTGAGCCTGAAGCCCCATGGTCAGCAGTGGACTGTCTCCAGGCTACCTGGGTTTTGAATTCCGGGTGAACCTGCAGGTCCTGGTGTTTCTCCTTGTGGGTGACCGTGTGTCTGAGCTCCCAGGCCCCCTGTGCTGGTGGAGGCACAGGAGGGTCCCGGAACGTGATGCTGAGACCTGGAGGCCGACGCTGGGTCTGAACAGAGGGGTGTGAGCCAGGCGGGGCTGGATGAGCGGAGCCTCCCTCGGGTGCTGCTGGGTAACTGGCTGCTCGTGAAACCCTTGTGCTGTTGGGCATGGGTGGGGAATGTCTGGCCCTGCCAAGGCCTCACCAAAGAGAAGCAGTTCCAGCCATCACACTAGGAGCGAGTTAATTAAACGTTTGACCCAATAGAGCAGGCTAATTTTTAAGTTGATAATTTTGTATGGCCTGCAAATGATGTTATAAATATCCAAATGGCCCTTGGCAGAAAAAAGGTTCCCCACCCATGCTGCAGAAGGACCAGACTCCCAGGCGGGCAGTGAGCAGGGGCGGGATGGGAAGAAGCCGTCCCCGCAGGTCCAGAGGGGCAGCCAGGCAGCTGGGCCAAAACGCGTGGCCCCTGGCGTAGGCGTGGACAGAGGAAAACCCTGAGTTATTCTCTGATTTGGGATCACAGCGTGTAGGTGGCCTGGCTCCTGTGAACAGTGTTTAAAAGAATCCTTCTCACTTTTTCTACGAGTAGGAGATGCAGAAGCTAAATAAAAAATGAAAGGGTTTCTCATGGGAAACGGTGGCCACAGCAGCCCCGAGAGCAGGTGATTCAAACCAGGAGCCCACACCTTTTCCACTGGGGAGGCCTCGCCCACACACAGCAGGCACCGGGGAGCATGACTTGCTTCCCGGTGTCATCATGCTAGGTGTCCCCAGTGAGGGGGGCAGGGCCGGCGTGTCTCCTGCAGACAGGGCAGCCCAAGCCACACTGTTGGTGACAATAGACAGGGAGGCAGTGGGCCCACCCATCACCTGGCATCCCCCAGACCCCCGAGGGTGTCAGTGACAGCAACCACGTGACGGCCACAGCAAGCACTCAGCACTGACCGGCAGGGGCCATGGGTCACGGGCAGCTTGCCGGCCTCTCCTGGGAGGTGGTAATAATATTAGTGGACCGTGCTCTGGTTCTCATGTACCAGGCCCAACGACCAGCATTTAAAAACTTCTTGTTTTGCAAGAATTCCAGATTCACAGAAAGTGGCAGAGGGATCGGTGTCCCTTCAGCCAGAGTCCCGATAACGACACTGTCGACAGCTGGACCTGATGTGGGCTCCCCCGTGCGTGTGGCGCTGAGGGGGAGACGGGTGTGGAGGACGGGCCAGTCCGTGCCCCAGCTTTTCTTAGAGCCTCATCGATCTCCCAGCAGTGAGCAAGGTGGTGTTACCATCCCCCCCTTTTTACAGGCAAGGAAATTTAGCAGGAATTCGGGAGAAATGTGTAGATCTCTGGGAGCCACCAGTGCTGGTCGGGAACAGGCTTTCTCTGGAATAGCAGCCATGAAGGGTCGGCCATCGTGGCCTTGGACCCTCCCCTGGACGCCCCCTCAGACCCTCCAAGGGACCTTGCACCAGGCTAGGCTGGCCGTGGCCTCTGGGGAGGAACGTGTTCAAGATTCAGCAAGTTAAAGGCGGCTTCAGCCAGCCCTGTGCCGGAGACCGTTCCGAGTGTGTCCTCGAGTGTGAGACTCCTGTTGTGTTTTATGAATCTGCCCCTCACGTGACACTCACAAGACCACGTCCCATTGTTTTCGAACTTGTTAGGTTTCACTTTACAAACGACCATAACAGGCCCAGGGGTTGTGAATACTGTTTGCCGTAGGTGACTCTATTGAGAAGAGTGAGCGTCCCTCAAGTGGCCTCTGCAGACCCCGGGGGGGG